TGCCTAACATAAACCTTACAAAATAAATATTGCCTAATCAAACATATATATTTACATATAAATATATATAGTAAAATATTGCCTAATCATAAATCTTAGAAAATCTGAGTTTTTTAAGTAAAAACATCTGAAGTACCTGAAAGATTTTATTGACTGATTGATATTATGATATGTGTTTATTTTGATATTCAATTTGAACTACTGAAGGTTCTGTCCTAGGAAAAAATTAAGCAGAATTACCTATTTTTTTTTTTTCGGTTGTAACATTGCTTTTTTTTTCTTTTAAGTTTTTTTGCCTTTTTTTTTTATTATGTTATGTTAGTCACCATACAGTACATCATTAGTTTTTGATGTAGTGTTCCATGACTCATTGTTTGTGAATAACACCCAGTTATTACCTATTTCTTAGAAATATTTGATAAATGAAAGTCAGAAATAAGGATGACATCTGAGCTAAGATTTCTTTGTAGAACATCTGATGCTCCAATACAAAACAGGCTTTGCTGATGACATTGGTTGTGTTTATTTTTAACTAAATTAGCAAATACTTGTTAAGCATGTGTAATGTGCCAAAATACTATGTTGGGATCTAGAAAAACATATAAAAGGTAGACTGCCCTCAGGGAGTTTTATTATAAATTGAATTAAGGAATTAAAAAAAATTAAGTCACAAACCAGTGGGGTGGGCTGGAGTCAAGGCTGGGTACCATAATTAATTGCAATTTATTTCTTTCAGTGGAATCTGAAGCTACTCTCTTCCTGGAGGCACTTGCAAGGTTAGCATTGTTTTTCACAGAGCATCATAAATCTTCAGTGACCAGCCTTTGGCACATAGAAGATTTAGCGATACCGAAGATCAGATTCTCCTGATAAAGAATGTTTTCCTCCTCTTTCTTCTCCATGTTGAATTTGCAAACACCTGACTTGAACAGGATTCCAAGTCTGGCCTTTTAGTCTTAGTCTCTACTCCATGTGGTCTGGGTCATGCCTGTCTATCTCACTCTGGAGCTCCAGCTCTTTACAGGCCCTGGTCCCAGTACATGCTTCCAGCCAAAGAACTGCTCTGCAAGATTTTAGAAGCTCAAAAACTAGTAGCCAAAGTTCTGGAAAAACTTGAACTACAGAAATTTCACACTGGCACTGAGCTTCTTCAAAATCCCGCAGTGAAAAACGAAACTATCCAAAACAAATGTAGTAACTCTCAAGCTGGGCCCACATGAAAGGGTAAAATAGGGCATGTAGGTCTACTTCCAAATACTCCAGCCAGGGAAGAAGGCTCTTCTGACAAGCAGAGACAATTTGAGGCACAAAGCAATCCATATTTCAGTCCACAAATGTTTCCAGACTTTCTGCTGGGAATGGACAAAAGCAAATGATATTCAGCCCCTTTCCTGAAGAAGAGTCTAGTGAAAAACCATATAAGCACCATGGCCCTACTTGATGTTGCCAGAATAAAAATAAAGAGTTAAGGAAATGTTGTTTGATTTTGGGGGTGAGGAGACAGAAAGAGAGATAAACAACTCCAAATTAGAGTACACCACCCACTGGAAAATTCTTGTTCAGAGGTTTTGGTAGGGAGCTGGTGACTGAAAACAGAAGTCCTCTCTCCTCTGAAGCCCTTCCATGTGTGGTTTCAGATGCTAAACACCAATGTCTATTCCATCAGGGAACAGAAGAAATAGCTTTTTGTCTAAAAGGAACACACACAGGCTTCTGTAGGGACAACAACAACAGGATTTTAGAGCCGCCCTGCTAAATAAAAAGACATATAGTATCAGCTACTCTTTTGGAGCGTGAGGAGGAGGAGAGCTGCTCTCATGCCACGCATAGTGCTGGTGGCTTAGCTACCATATTGAATTCATTGCTTACACCAGTCCCGTGAGGCTGGTCCCACTCTCATTTTACAGTTGAGGAAAAGAGGTTCCGTGAGGAGGAATGGCTTGTTCAAGGTCTCAGAGCTAGAAGAAGCAGGGCTGGGATACAAGACCAAAAGTCAATCTCATTCCCAAATCCACACTCTTTCTGGAGGACCAAAGTGAATACAACTCAAAAATGACAAGTTCTACTTTGCATTTTGTGCTGACCCCTGAAAAATCAACCAAAGAAGATAGGAAAGGTCGAGACAGAACTGACTCAACACATTTGGGGCCATGTTCTCTTTACTCTGCTCTCCCTCAAAGCTCATGCGTCTTTACATCTTGTCCCAGAAAGTCTGGAAATCTCAGATGGTCTCCTCAGACTGACAGCCACTCCAGCTGCACTCTGAATCCTGAAAGGGATTCCAGAAGGAAGATGGAAGCCGAGTAATGGAAAATGTAATGGGGCCATGTCCCTGTGTTGAGTGGGGGGCAAGGAGTCCATCACACAATGAGATTCACATTCTAGAAGTTTCAGTCTGGTGGCCATGAGGTGGACGGAGCAGCTCAGAGGATATTAAGCCTCACACTGTGGGAGACTGTGTAGAAATCAGATGCAGTAACAGAAGTAAGAGGTAACAAGGTGCCCAACCACACAGGGGCAGCAATCTCTGGGGGTGGGGGACAGAGAAATGAGAGATGCCGTAGATGCAGCATTAGTAAGACCTGCTGACCAGCGGCTGTAGGAGAGAGTGAGGGACAGGAAGGAGTGTGGGGCAAGGCCCAGTTTTCTGACAGGGGTGACCGGGTTGGTGGTGACACCATTCTTAGAGATGAGGGAGAGAGAAAGAAGAGTTGGTTTTAGGGGAAGGAGGGTAACTTCAGATGTGAGGTAGTCATGAGCACACCCAAATGGAAATGTTCCACAGGCAGCTAGATTGACAGGTTTGCTCATTCTTTCTACAAATATTTACTGACTCCCCACCATGCACCAGATGTTGAGCTTGGCATTAGGTGTGGAGTGGCGACCAAAACCCAAAACAGACGTGTTCTCTGCCCTCATGAAGCTTACAGGCAATAAACGAACATGTAACAGAATCACGATGACCAGCTGGAGTAAGTGTTACACAGAAAAGAATAAGGTGCTATGAGAAGAACCAGTCTGGGGGCACCTGGGTGGCTCAGTCATTAAGTGTCTGCCTTCAGCTCAGGTCATGATCCCGGAGTCCTGGGATCGAGCCCCGCATCGGGCTCCCTGCTCGGCGGGAGGACTGCTTCTCCCTCTCTCACTCCCCCTGCTTGTGTTCCTTCTCTCACTGTGTCTCTCTCTATCAAATAAATAAAATCTTAAAAAAAAAAAAAAAGAAGAACCAGTCTGAGTGTGTGAGACTTGATGGGGAAACCGAGGCTGAGTAGGACGAGAAGGTTCTGGAGCTCAGAGGAGGCACTGCCTGGCTGGAGGTGGAGGGGGGTCCACTGGGGGTCATGTGCACACTGGCGGGTGGTGAGCCAGATACTATCGTACAGGCTGTTGGGGCGGGGGCCGAAGAGCTAGAAGCCCCACAGGCTGAGGCTGCTGCTCGTTCACTCAGTGCGAAGGCCACACACTCACAGGGAGCACTCTGGGTGTCTCGCACTGAGGTTACAACCTGCCCAGGGACGATGGGCATTTTGCCACCTCTCCAATGAGGGCATGCTGGGCCCGTGAAAATCCGTACAGGGTACCCACTGATTCGGCCTAGATCGTGGGAGGCCTGATGAAGCTAACTCCAGGCAGGACTGAAATCTTCATGCTAACTCGGGATTCTCAAACACAAAACAAGAACAAAACCTCAGCAACTTTTGTCTAACTCATGCTCCATTCTCTTCCTGGAAATGAAAGCCAGGAGACGTGGTTTTAGAAGGGAGCCCAGTTAAGCCCCAGTCCGTCCCTGCAGGAGCTAAGCAGCCAGTGAGCATCCCAAAATGGCTTGTAACCGTTTAACAGAGAAAAGAAGACCGCGTTAAGCCCAAACTGGGAGTTGTTCGCCTACGTGCAGAGAGTGTCTACAACAACAGAAACAACAGCAAACGTTTACTGAGCACTTACTATGTGCTGGCAACTGTTCAAGTCACTCAGTCTTCCGACAGCCCTATGCAGGATTTACTTTCAGTAGCCCTACTGTGCAGATGAAGAAACTGAGGCACGGAGAGGTTAAGGCGCTTTCCCAAGGCCCCCACTGTCCTCTGACGTTTAATTGGAAGAGCCGGGATTTAAAGCCAGAAGTCTGGATCCCAGAACCCACTCCCTTCACTAGTCTTTTGATAAATGGGTCACTGGTATAATAGTTGGAGTAAAAGGCCCGTGTGGAGGTGGGGCCTGATTTGTGAGGCGCCGAGGGGAGATGGACTCTGTGGGTTGTTCCCAGGGGAAGAGGGATGCTCCCAGGCAGTCTGGTTTCTGACAGCCTGCCTCTGAGAGGGTGAAACCATCCTCAGAGAGTCCTGGAGTTTTCCAGACAGAAGGGGACCTGGGAACTGCTTAGTTGAGCTGCTGGTTTACAGATGGGGAAACTGAGGCACGGGGAAGCGGAGGGACTGTGCTAGGGAGGGACAGAAGCTGGGTCAGAGGGAGTGTCCTCTCCCAGGAAGCCTTCCCTTCCTCCTTTTCCCTTGAGGATTCTGCTTGAGCAAGCCCGTCTCCTGCGCACCTTCGGGGCCCACTTCGGCTGAGCAGGTGTTTATGGTTCCCCGTGGGAGTCCCCAGGGCAGCCAGGAGGAAATGAAGCCACCTCCCACCCAAGGAGCTAGCGTCTCCCAAAGCTGTCTTCACGAGGATGCCACCCTGCACAGCAGAGCCCCTTACCCCTTCGGAATCTGCAGACCCACCTTCCTGACCCAGGCCGTTTTTATCCCGAACTGGAGCGACCCTACGCAAACCCATTTCAAAGACCCCACCTGGGTCTCAGACACCCCCTCGGGACACAAGGTTCCCACCTGGACCCCTCCAGTGAGTTTCTGGGAACTGTGCAGTTCTGACCACCAGCATCGCTCCCCTCCTGCACCCCTGTGCCTCCCTGGAGGAAGTACCCACCCACCGCAAGGCGGTGGTGGCCAGAGGGGAGGCTCCTCTCTTTGGCCATCCAGAGCCAAAGCAAGTCTTACCTTTCCACCTGGAGGTTGACTTTGGAAGGCTCCACGTTGGGATTTTCCCATTCCATTTGCGGGCAGTGCATGAAATAGCAAAGGGTGTACAGGGCCTCCGGCTCCCAGTAGAGCGCCCCCTGCTTGTGGTGCAGGGGGGTGCCGTTGCCGTGGTGCTTGGCATTGAGGGGCTGCAGGTGATGCATTGCTCGGGACACCAGGTCACCTGTGGACAGAAGTAAGATTTCAGATCCTTCAGGCGGCCATGACTTGCAGAGATGTGCTGAAGACCTCTGCAGAGATTCCGATCCTGGGACTCCCTCACTCAACTGCAGCGGTCCTCCGGGTCCCACAGTGAGCAGAGAGGAAAGCATCTGTCCAGTCACCATATGACTGCCACTGCTTACCAGGTTTGAGCTGCGACTTCAAGCACAGAGGGCGGCCAAGATAATCACAGTCCTGCCCTTCTGGAACCCACGGCTTCTAACAAGGCACAGGGAGCCCTCTGTGTGCATCACCTTGGGACACACCCTTGGTCACATCTTTTGCTGTACCCAGTGCTGCCTTACCTCTAGTCACAAGTACAGTCAAGGACTATACTGCCTCTTGCCTCTGAGCCTGTGCATAGGCTGTTCCCTTTATCCAGAACATTCTCTCTCTCCTCTTCTCCAGGCTAACTCCTACTGATCATCCAGGTATCAGCTGGTATATTAACTTCTCCAGGAAGTCCTCCTGGAATCTCCCCCACCCCCTTGTATGTGTGTCACACTGCACTTTCTTTTCTTTTCTTTTTTTTTTTTAAAGATTTTATTTATTTATTTGTCAGAGAGAGAGACAGAACACAAGCAGGGGGAGAGGCAGGCCGAGGGAGAAGCAGGCTCCCTGCTGAGCAAGGAGCCCGATGTGGGACTCGATCCCAGGACCCTGGGATCGTGATCTGAGCCGAAGGCAGCCGCTTAACCAACTGAGCCACTCAGGCGTCCCAACACACTGCACTTTCTTATCACAGCAGGTAGAGCACTGGGTTAGAGCTGCCATTTCCTTGTGGGTCCTTCCCCATGGCAGCAACTCAGTCTTAAACGACATTTATGCACCAGCACAGTTTTAAGCACCCCAATTCATCACCCCAAAGCAGTTACCTTTATAAACCCATTTTATGGATGAGGAAAGAGGGCAAATAACTTCTCAAGGTCAACCAGCAGCCACAAGCAGCAGAGCCAGGATTTGAACCCAGGCAGTCTGGCTCCAGAATCCCCACACTGAACCATTCTCCTTGAGGACAGGGGCTCTGTCTTACTCTTCTCTACACTAGCAAATCTGGGATACACTCTAGTCTTTCTCCTGCTTTCTCTGAAGGAAACCAGCCTTTCTTCATAAAACCAAATGCATACTCCCTGGTTGGCTGCACAGGGAGGACCTTCCTGTTGGGAGGCTGGCTGGGCCTGGAAGCCCTGACTTTTCTAGGCTAAGATGGCATTTCCCGAACTTAGGTTGTTTGTATACCACCTTCATGAGTGCAGTTGTATCCAAGTCCCATCTGTGCCATGGTTTACTTAACTTTCAATGGGTTCATTTAGGGGCGCCTGGGTGGCTCAGTCCGTTAACCGTCTGCTTCATCTCAGGGTCCTGGGATCAAGCCCTGCATTGGGCTCCTTGCTCAGTGGGGAGCCTGCTTCTCCCTCTGCCTGCAGATTCCCCTGCTCATGCTCTCTCTCTCCCTTTCTCTGACAAGTAAATAAATAAAGTCTTTTAAAAAAATAAATGGATTCACTTAGATTTTTTTTTTAAATACGGATATCTAAAAAGGAAATGTTTTGTCACTTATCATAAACAGAAGATCAGTATCAGTTGCCATAAACAGAAGATCACTATAAAAGTTAACTTGATGAAAACAAAACAGTATAATTAATTCATAGCTGAATTCTGGTCCTGGTTTTTTTTTTTGTTCTGAATAATAAGTGTTAGAAAAGTGTTAGGGGCTCATACCAAATGGAGCCTTTCTTCTTGAAGCAATCAGAATTAAAATAGAACTTAAAAGGATCACTCCATGACCGATGTTATTGAATGCACTGCCCTGTTCCACTCGTCCAGTGGAATGTGTTGCACACTCTGGGAAACACTCATCTGAGATACTTGTGATGAATAATTTTATGTGTCAACTGGGTGAGGAGGCTATGGTGCCCAGTTGTTGGGTTAAACACTAGTTTATAGGTTGCTGGGAAGGTATTTTTCACATTAACTTTTAACATTTAAATCAGTAGATTTTGGGAAAAGCAGATTATCTTCCAAAATGTGGGTGGGCCTCATCCAATCAGCTGAAGGCCTTAGGAGAAAAGACCTTGAAGAAGACGGAATTCTGCCCTCAGGCTCAAGACTGAAACATCAACTGGAATTTACTGCTCCCTCTTCACCCCACCCCACCCCACCCAGGCAGCCCCTGGTGGGGGAAGGAGACTGTCTCCTCCAATCCCAATCCTTCACTGCCCAGTAGAAACCAGGCCTGCGGAGCCATCCACCTGTACCTTCTAACAGGACACTTTGACCTCAAATCCAAACCCAAGAAAGTGAGGCTCAGTGAGAGGCCTGAGTTTCTCCTCTGAGAGTTTCTCCTCTGAAGGCCCAAAGCCCACTTTCTAGTCTGAGGGTGGGGCCATTTCCTTAAAAGAAGATTGACAAGAGAGTCATTCACCCCCCCCTTCCCCTTAGGGGAATCAACTATGGAGATGTGGTCTCGGCCAAGGGCAGAAATGGCAAATATTCCCCTTTCTAGTCCATGTCCATGACAGACATGGTTAATCAATCACAGAGCTCTTATGCACAGAGTGTAGATGTTGCCTTTAAATCCTTCTTGAGACAAGATTCCAAGTGGCCACTATTTCTGATACAGGAGTTTCCTCTGATACAAGGAAACTTCCATGTTGTCAGAGTCCTAAGGCCTTAACAGGACAACCGAACCAGAGTATAATCCACCAACCTTAATATCTGGACAGCAAGCAGATGCAGGGGCTGAACAGAGAGCAGGTGGGGTGGCCATCCTGCACCCCTCTGCATCTTACCATGCCTCGCTCAGAGCCTGACCCTCCTCTCTCCATTCCCCAGAGTGGGAACATATGCCCAAGAAACTCAAAAAAAGAATCAGAGAAGGAAATTCTCTTAGGGGTAGGTGGGCCAGGGAAGACCCCCGGGGGACCTGCAGATGGAAAATATGGGGAACCAGTGCTCACAGTCAGGAGAAGGAATCCAAATCCCAGCTGTGCCTCTCATCAGCGCACAAACCAGCAAGTCACTCAGCCTCGCAGGCGAGGAAATGAGCCCCCCGTTGGGTGGGTGTGAGGGTTCAGGGCAGAATGAGGAAGGGCCTGGCACGCTGTGGGCATGAAATTAGCCACTCTCTTAGGCTCAGGGCCCGCCTGCTCGTCCTTCTGTCTGGATGGTGAGACCTGGAGGTCCGGTGCCTGGGACGTGCGGGGACAGTCCTGCCAGCGTCCTGACCCAGCGCCAGATTTGCTGCTTCATGCTGGGGTTGACATTTTTAGGAATCTATGCTATAAAGCTGTGCACTCTGGGTGTCTGTCTGGGGGTGCACTTAGGTCCTTAGTTGCTTTTTCTTCCCTGTTCTCTCTACATCTTTTAGAAATGCTGCTCCTTGGGAGGGAGGAAAAAAGGAAGCCAGGTGCCCGCCTTGGGCCGGTCCTATCAGTCAGTCTCATAAGGGGCGACTCCAGCCACTGGTAAAGGGAGGCTGACCAGCGAATGTAGAGAAGGAGCCTGGAAGAGAACAAGATGGCAGGTCTGGGCTGGGCCTGGGCACAGTGACGATGTTGTGAATTTTCTGATGAGGATGACATGAGGTAGAGGGAGGTGACAGCAGAAGCGGAAACCACAATAGACAGAGAACCTGCCATGTCTCGGGCCGTTCATACACTTTCCGGTTTAATTATCTAAGAGCCATAGAGGACATAAACCCACTTCAGCGATGGGAAAATCAAGGCAAGGGGCAACCGGCCCAGGTGTCACATAGGAAGGAGCAGGTTGCAACTCCAATGAGGCTGCCAGGGCTCAGGTTCTTCGTCAGTACACCCCAGTTCCTTCTAGAATCTACCTCAGGGTGTGGCCTTTGAAAAACTCTGGTGAAGAGTTGAGGCCTAAATCTGAGTCTCCCCAACTATATGCCATTGTGGAGTCCATGGTGAGGGGCTCAGGAGATGGGGCGGCCTCTGCTGACAGAGGGGAGCTTCCGGCTGAGGGGGCTCAGCGTCTGACCTGTCTGCAGGAGGGGGTGGTGGCTGCTGGCTGGGTCCACCTGCATGGATGGCCATGCACACTCTTAGATGATACCTGCCCTAAGGAAAGGGGCCTGGAGGGGCACACGAGTAACCAGCGATGATGGAGGCAGGAAGCTGGTTCTGGAACCAACAGAAGCCTGGTCTCTCAGATCAGAACTTTGGCCCGGGCGCTAGCAGAGCTGAGAGAGCTTTTCCGGGAAAGCTGTGAACATGCGTAGCAGCCCAGCAGCTGGGCTTTGGGGCCATGGGATGAGGCGACCGTGGGCAATGGCAGACACCCATTTAAATAGCACTCCTGTGTGCAGGACACTTCTGAGAGCTTTCTATATATTATACCACTTTGGTGCCATGCAAGCCAGTGAGGTAGGTCCAGGTGGCATATCCATTTTGCAAATGAGGAAACTGAGATCCAGGGAAATAATCTGGTTTCCAACTACTGCCATTTGGATCTCTCAGTTCCTGTACCACGCTGCCCTCAGGAGAGGGCAGGAGAGAAGGGGGTCTTCATTCCTTGGTGGCAGCAAGAGCCCACCAGGAGCTCCAGAGATCATGGCTGGCTTGGCCACACCCAGAGTCTGGGCAGAAAAGCTCAGCCCATCTGTAACTGGTACCTGTCAGTAACCACATCCTTGGTGGGCACAGGGGTGGGGACAAGCCGCAGAGGCCGTGGCAGATAGGGCCAAAGCTCTGGAAGGAACTGCAGACCTCCCAGTTCTGCCCCTGGCTGTGATGTCAGGGTCCTCAAAGGTGTCACCAGCCATGGGCAGGGGCAAGGTGTAAGGATCGCGGGAGGCCAAGACTGCAGGCTGAGCCCCAGCAGGGTAGGGCGAAGGGATGGCTACATGTGAGATGCCACCTGGGGACTCTCAAAAACTGCCTGGTGAACTTTCCAGAGGTGCTGGGTTTCCGGTGAGTTTGCATGTAGGGGGCAGAGGCTGAG